GGCTCAAGGCGAAGCCATTGACTCATCGTCCTGTATTTAGCTCATCCACCCCCCATTCAAACATTATCATGTCTCCTTTTTCTACTGAAAATATAAAATCAATTGCCCAAATCATATTTACTTGACATATATATTGTTTTTAATCTTCATTCCTCTAATAAATATAAAAAAAGAGATAAACACAAGAAGGAGAGGACAAAAGGTGCACACTTAGCTTAGCTGTTTCCAATTGTAAATGCATGTGTTTTATAAGATTCAAGTAGGGTTGTTAGAGAGTTTTGGTTATGATTCTTGGGCCTGCAACACAACATATTCCACGTTCATGAAAATATCTTGCACATAACAACCGTATTAGGCCACTCATTTTGCGTATGTAATTTTTCTCAAACAATATATACGTAGATTTAACGTACGCACGCGCGAGAGGAAAACGATATATAACTCTACGCATATAAATATCCCTACCCATGATTGAAGGTCATAAGCTGAATTAGTGATAAGATCTTTTTCCCTACAACCAAACTGCCAACTAATTCTGTCGACATAAGGAGTTGTAAGCTTGTATAGATGAGAAAGTGTCAAAAGACGTTAAAATTAGTGGTCCTGCCCTTTACTTTGAAACCGTCTTGGTGGGGAGCCTTTGTCTTCTTGATGGTGATTCATACAAATTGTAGAGAATCGTAACTCTCGACTGTGAATTTATAGGTGTAATTACAAGTATGTGAACTCATGCGCCTCTTCAGAGAAATCTAGAAGATAAACATATGTACGTAGAAGAGTAAAAGCTTGTTATATATTAGAGATATGAGATTCCTTCGCACTTTGCAGAGGAAATGTTGCAGGAAATACAAGAAACCGCAAATGTCTTAAGCTTCCTTTTTCTGCCAACGTTTTTGTGTTCCTGATTCCTATTTTTCTAACTTTTTCAAGCCAAAAAAACCGTCATTTTCTCATAAATGTATTCCTTCCCTTGGCCACACTGCAACCAAGTTGAAACAACGTATGCCACAAGACCAGAAAGAAAGAAAATATACAGACAGGCACTACCAAAGCAGAGGAGAATTATAATGATTCCTGTTGAAAAGAAGTCAGAAAAATAACAAAATTAAAGATAAGAGCAATGGTAGGGAGGATATTGATGATTGGATTATCATTAAGCATTAGTTAACGTGCTTATTTCTTATTGATGACATATCATTTTATTTACAAATTTGATGTAAAAATTTGATCTCCTTGGCATTATCCTAAACATAATGGTATCCTAAAGACAGAATTACAAGGACTCTACAACTACTATCAACTTATAAGTTGGTGGGCAGAAATTGGTTGTTGTTCGACTCCATTTATGTGGGCTCCAGATAATGTGTGTTATTTTTTCCAAGCCCATAAAAATCCAATGGTGCTTTTCCAATTAAGATTGTGTACGAAAACTATGCAAATAGTGCTTTCTTGCTCAACGTGAAGTTGAGTAGTTCATCGTATAAAATAAGTTTGAACCCAAAATGAAGTTGGGCCTAGGATCTTCGCTTCTATCATATTCTAAACCACAGGATTCTCGTTGGGTTTTCTCCGATACATATCAAAAGTGTTATTTAAGTTACACAAGTTATACAAGTCGTTAGAAGTTTGTTAGAACAAACAATCTAACACCTCTTGTTCTCATGTGTAACTTAAATTTGTATTTTTAATATGGATTAGAGAAAGCCTCTAATTCAAATTGTCAACATGTCATTATTAATACGTTCAACACAATGATGTCTCCAAATTAGACTACTACTCATCGTCGAGGGATTATATTTTGATATCATGTCAAGATTCTAAGAAGCGGCCCAACATTGAACTGCTAGTTTGTCTAACATCTTTACTATTTCCAACTCAACCACATGCTAGCGCGCATGTATAGCAAGTGTGCAGTTTTATTCCCAAATGTCTCAATGTTAATAACGATGAAACCTTTCACTTGTGAATAGTAATTTATTGGCCTAAACCACGTATGAATAGAACCACAAAATTTGAATCGAGCAATTCGAAAGAGATGCCCTTTTTTATTTATATTTATTGAAAACATATTTTTCATCAAAGTAAGATGGTGGACAGCGTGTTGGGTTTACCCCATTCTAGGTTCAAAACTTCCCCTTATTTTAAAATTAATGTAATAGTTTCGAACTTTCCACTTCCGATTAATAATAGTAAATTTAAAATTTAAAAATAATCATTTTATCTGTATCATCATCGTTAATTGAATAATGCTAGGGAGACAAAAAAATTAAACTAAATGTTGTATCATCAATAGAAAATAAGCGCGTTAATCAACACTTAAGTAATAATTTAATCATCAACATCCGCATCATTTGATTTACAAAAAATTTAGTTTAAAAGTTTAGTCTCCCTAGTATTACCCTTGTTAATTTGTTCGTGCGTTCCTTGTTTATTGATATATTCTGCGTGCTTTATTTGTGTGTGAGTTAAGAGAAGTCAGAGAGCTTAATCATACAGTGGCTAAAAAAGTGATCGCTCTCACAGAGAAGCATGAGCACGAGCAACTCCACTTCAGCAAGAATTTATGAAAGCAAAGAATTTATGATATATCAATCTGTATGGCATATACGTATAAAACGATTCACATATACAGTTTTCATATTAAAGTGAGTATCATATTCATGCATATGTATGTGGAGAAGGACTTGTATGACACTAGTTGTCCCATGTTAATAATAAAAGGATATGCAGTAGTTTTTTTTTTTCTACGTGTTTTTGTATACATTAATGGCACAAGACATCACTGTAGTGGTACACCCTTGTAGATGAGGAGAGTTTGTGAAATGAATGTAAGGTCTATCTTTCGTTGTTGCGTGCAAGGTATCCACCATTAATCTACATGTTTTTTTTTTTTGGAAGTGCAGCGTGGCAAAGAGAAAACTTCGAGTTTGTGATGGGTGTGCATTAATTATTCTATCATATAGTTAGTCTTATTAGGATTCTCCTTTGGCTCTTCGAGTTTGTGATGGGTGTGCATTAATTATTCTATCATATAGTTAGTCTTATTAGGATTCTCCTTTGGCAAACGTGGTTATCACGAAATTCACCCTAATAAATAGAAGTGGTTTTGCAACGTGAGAAGCCCTTTGAACTCAACAAATCACTCAAAATAATCAATGCAAAAAACCTTGCTAAAAATACTAATTATCCTAACTCCTCGTCAATACATCTTCAGTTTGAATAAACAGCATTGTGTTGACAATCGGTGACATCTTCAGTTTGGATTAACAACACTGGATCCGTAGAATCGGGCGATTTAGGAGCATCTTCAATTTGGATTAAGAACATTGCTTATGGTTGATTGGTTATCTATCTAAGTCTCGGCCGGTGAAGAGTTATCAATTATTTTGCCTATAGAGTTCACTTCATTAGCTTTCTCGGCGAAGTGAGGTATTACTCATGAGGTTACTTAGTGTTCGAAAAACTGAAAACCGAACCTTTATTGAACTTCACAGTAAAAGGCAACCTTGTCTTCAGGTTTGTAGAACCCTAGGCCAAGATGTGTTCCTTCCTCGGTTGTAGTCCCTCAGGTGCAGAAGTTAGCAGTGCATTTGACACCACCACAACTACATCTATTTTAGTAGCCCAACCGAGCTCGATTGCGAGTTGGCACACACACACATTCACAAGAAGAACGTAGTTAGGTCAATAGTTACTCACCCTATGAGCCACTTAGGCCCTGCAATTTTTAGGGTCAACAACCATACACATCCGGAGAGTCATTGTTGTCTAACTTGTAATAATAACCAAGTTATTCCTTCCCTTGGCCACACTGCAAGCAGGTTGAAACAACATATGCCATGATGTCTCCTCAACGTAGCATTGCGGGGTGCAAGTAATAACTTTCATGTTTTGCACACAACTGTAAAATATGTGTCCGATAATGGTACCCTAAACCTAAAGACAGAAAAACATTCATAACATATACAAATAAGCCTGGTCTTAAAAAAATGAGAATGAGTTCAAATGCTTGTGATCTCCCTGATTTTGATCATCTTCTGGTTTCTTTGGCTACCAGATTGAGAGGCAACATTACTGTTTGAAATTTTACTCTCCTTAAAAGGTAGAGGGGGAGCTTCTGCCTCCCAACTGAGAGCACAGTTGAAAAACATGATTTAAATTCCATGCATTTTATAACCATGGCAAGGCATGCTTTGAATCATTTTCCACGAGTTGGATTATAGGCTATAGACAATGACTTGAGAACCCACAACCTTATTAGAAAACTCTGCAATTTCGACAATTTTATAGTCATCGTTAGCTGAATCATACCCGAATCCATATTGATGGCTCATCGTCAGATCCTAGGGTCGTTGTTGCGAATGCAAACCAAGCCATCGGAGTGGCCCAATATGAGGGTGTACCGTTGTGGGTATTTCAGAGGTTGTTCAATTTGCACGGCTCTGGGGGCCGACGGTATCATCGTCCTGAAAAGGCAATGAGAAGTACTCAAAGTTAATCTTCGTGCAACCAAATTCCTGAATCAAAAGGGTGACGAAGGAGTTGGTCTCAATGGAGGGTTGAAGATGGGCTTTGATGATGCGTCGGTAGTGAATGAAAGCATACCAAGTTTTGGAAACACACCAACATCGCAGCAAATCCTCTGGCACCGGACTTCAAAGAGTAACTCCAGTGGGACGCCTAACACGGTTGAAACTTGCATGATTCTTGTGACGAGAAGTTATAAGGTTCAAACTACCGGACCGCCTCATTTATACGGACCTAGACACCAAAAACCTTCCACTAGTAGTGGTTCCACTACCCCACACCACCCCTAATCCGGCACCGGTACCCAAGAACCTCTCTCTTGTGACCCTCCTCACCAGGGTTTGACGCTCCCCCACCCCCTTTCTTCCCCACACCAACATGAGAATGGCCATATTCGCTAAACACCTTGCCAACGCAGCGACTAGATCATAAACAAAGGAGATCCGAACTCGAATGCATAGATAAAAAACACATGAGTAACCCTAACACATTCAATTGCGTCTACTTATTTCAAATACATGAGTAACCCTAACACATCCAATTTCACAAAACATTGGGTGACATTAAACAGTAGCTTGAAAATGGTTATTGTTGATCATGCTTGATCCAATTTTAACACACACCAAAACAATGCACATAAAAATTATGTCTCAACTTAATTAACTAAAATTAACTAAGCAAATTAATTTCACAAGGTATTATCATGAAAAATACCAGGCAGCTCAAGTGGCAGAAAGAAACCCTCTCAAGTCTCAACTTTACGATGGATCTTGAAGGAGAGCCCGGGAAGATCATTAGGGGAAAGCTGAATCACCTCCAGATTGCCCCCTTTTTCTTTCAACCAGTAGCAATGAAGGATCGAGAAAATGCTTCCAAGCTAAACGAAATCCACTTTTCAAGGAACATTCATAACTTGGATGCACTGCAAGATGTCTGAGACAGCAATAACAAGGTCGCCTGATTTGATCAAATTCCTGGCCTTGAGCAGTGACAAGGTTTTGTTAAGGTTGCTCTCCATGTCATCCGAGAAGCTCACCCTAAATGGTATCAGCCCCCACTGTAGGTTTAGGCGTCTCCGTACAGATGTCGTGTTAGTAAAAGCAAAGATTGGGCAGTCTGGCCGGCAGCGAGACAAGAGAGATGCCATGTGGCCTGTCTTTGTATAGACAAAAAGAGCATCTACCTCCAAATTATTGGCTGCAAAATCGCAATTCACATCAAGATATTGTTCCATATGCAGCAAAAGCAATGACTAGAACAAGAATATAATTCAACAGAAAGGGTCAATAGGCTCAACACTAATATATTCATTCTTTTGAACTTCATTAGCCATCTTACGAGAAGGGTGAGAATAAATGATCACATACAAGAATGTATTAAATAGTTGTAACCGAAATGCTATCTAAAATAAAACTTGTAAGAGAAAAAAAAATCATTTTTTTGTCATTTGGATATATTGGTTCAGCTTCTGTACAACAAGGAAGTGCATTTTACACAATACGAAAAAGGAAAACACCTTGGAAAAACTAATCCAGATGTAATGTGGCTACCAGAATGTATAAATCACATATGATTACCTCAACATTACTTTCATGTGGGTGTGCGTGTTTGGTATGGGTGAGAATTTTATTTTTGTTATTACTTATTGTGAAAGATGCGATTTATATTACACTAGATGGAAATCCTGAGCATATATACACCCGAAGAGAATAGAGGAGCTTTTTACATCGAGACTCTCAGTGTAGATCTATCATAAGTAGTTTATATTGACAGATACGACCAACCCAGGGAGTTCCCTAACTATAGTACTATTAAATATGCAAACAAACAGATAACTGCTGAACTTAGCTCACTCAGAAACGTATTTAGTGAATACTTACCCATCTTGGCAGCACAAATGCAAATCTGCTCTGAGATACTGTCTGAAAATGAAGATCCAATAGCTGGTAGTTCCATAGCTTCATGACGTTTCTCTTCCCTCCACCATCTTTCAATTCTCAGACTAACACTTCTGAGAACAGCCAATGACTTTTCAGGGAACTGGCCCATAGCCGACTCACCAGAAAGCATCAAAGCATCAGCGCGCTGTCTCACTGCTTCAGAAACATCAGCCACTTCGGCTCTAGTGGGTGTAGGATATTCAATCATAGATTCAAGTAATTGAGAAGCCACAATGACTGGCTTATTTAGCTGCCGACAAACTTGAACAATCTTTTGCTGGGCTGCTGGGACCTGTTCCAGTGGTATCTGAGCACCTAGATCCCCTCTTGCTACCATTGCTCCATCTGATGCTCGGATGATCTCTTCCAGGTTCTTTAGAGAGTCAATGCTCTCTATCTTTGCAATGACAGCAATGTCGCTGCACCAAATGAATAGAAAAATCAGCTTAAAGGATCAACACAAGTTAAGCATCTTGATTATAAAAACAAGTCCCAAAGTACAATAAAAATAATCAGTAGGAATGATATTAGTTTCTGTATATCCATTCAAGTGGCAAATAGGTGTTTAACCTTTAAGTATTGAATCAAAATGATTGCAAAAACAACATATAAGAGAAATTTCACCGACCACAAGCATTACAGAATGCAGATAGGAGGTGCAATAAAATATCAAATCTCTTAACAATGAAAGAATCTACAGGAGCAGTTAATTCTTAGCAGGAACAACTGAAAGGAGGCTTCATTATCGTGCGATAACATATGACCAAGAAATATAATATGTATGGTATGCATGTAATATACGTATTTAATACTTAAGTACTTTACCTATCTCGAGACCGTGCAGCAATATAGCTTTTAAGATGATTTATCACTTCCGCAGATTTGACAAAAGATACAGCGATAAAATCAACACCCTCTGCAATCCCAAAATCAATGTCCAACCAATCCTGAATATATTGAAAACTCAGAGTGTGAGACCAAAAGATAAGTTTAAGAACTTACCAATGTTATTATGTGGAAATACACAAGTAGATTTTAGCAAGATCATAAGAAATGAATAACAATCACAAATGCATGTCACTGCTAGCATATACAAGCACAAATGACACTTTTTAAAGTTCCAATTGCCAATTCATGATATGGTTTTAAGACTCGAAGTTAGACCAGACCACACTCCAGAGTCCAGACAGGGTTAATGGAGAATAAACTTCACTTTATGACCAAGTTGAGATCGTGACAAGAATTAATAATTATGCATAACTTGAAAATTTGGGTTTCCTTTTTGTAATCTTGCTCAAGACAGGATCCATCTCGGTGATACTAAATCTGTAGGCAAGGATGCTTCGTATCAGAAGACACTAACGCTCTGGAGTCGGAAACCAAAGCTCCATGCTTATCAATCAATAATACAGTTATCAAAGAGGACTAATATGATAAAGCCATGCTTACCCGGAAAAAAAAAAAGTATTTTTATTTTTCTTTTTAGAATCGTCAGAAACAAAAGTTATTTTAAAAATGAAAATTAACATATGGGAAAGTTGAACAAAAGATGATCTAAAAGAGTTGTCTTGGACTCTTAGCTCAAACTTTCAAAACTTATTCTCCTTTTTCAAAGTAATGGGATTAAATAATTTAACTAGTTTTGAACAAGCTTTGCCAATTGAAACAACGGCATGTGCAACAGAACAATCACTAGATGTAAGATGCATCTACATTTCGAAAATTAAATTTGAACAATTTGATAATTCCAAAAGGACACACCAAATGTATCTATATTCGGCTTGAACATTAGAAAGCCTTGCTAATAGGGTTCGAAAAACAATGTAAAGAGTATAATGCAGCCCCTGCGGATTCCCATACAGGATTACAGGTCAGTCAAAATGGTCATCTTGGTTATCATATCAATATAGTTTATAGCTAGAGAAGTATATGTGCTCGGAAGTTGGAAGTTGGAACATACAGAAGGCTCGTGAGGGCATCATTATGCATTTTACTCACTATGTAAGTGACATGCAACGCTTAACATTTAGAAATTCAGTACATACATCAAACGATAAGTCCCTCGATGTTTTGCTTATGTAAAAGAAGGTAAAGAATGAGCAAACCTTCGACGAAATGGTGGGAAGCATGGCATTACGTTCTCGCACTAAACTCCCGTCCCTCCAGAAAGTCAAATTAGCCCGAGGCAGCAACAAACCAGGATCAGTACACTTACACTTAACATCAGGACCAAGCTTTTCGATCACCTCGAATCTCACCATCCCACCATCCACAAGCAGCTCATCCCCTACTTTCACATCTGCAAGCATCATATCATCCATCAATTTTCGCCATTTCAACTAAAACAAAGATGAAAAAAATATAAAAAGAAATTGAGAAATTTGGTGATCATATTCACTTAACTTCGGCAAAACCTTCATAGTTCACATTGATGGTGTGTTCGGGCAGAGTGGAGCCGAAAGCTCTGACGCTGAAAGTCCATACTTCACCATCCTGCACTTTCCAAAACCAAACTAATCAGCCAATCAGTACGCAGCATGAAACAATGCACATAAGGTGTCTGAGGAAATGAGAAAAAAAACACACAAACAAAACAAAACAAAAAAATACAAACAAACTGACCTCAGCTTTGGCGGAGGAAGCGCCACCCAAATCACCCATATGAATCTCGCTGCCTTCGGTATCCATCATGATGGCGACGGCGTATCCCTTGTCCTCGTTGAGCCTCCTGACGCGCTGAATGACCTCGCGGTGCCACTCGCGCGTGCCGTGGCACATGTTGATGCGCGCTACGTTCATGCCGCCAACGGCGAGAGATTCGAGCTGGTCGAATCCGGAGGTGGCGGGTCCGATGGTGCATACGAGCTTGGTGCGCCTGGTGGAACGGAATCCGTTCTCCCGGAGCTCAGCTTCGGTGACGGCGTCGACCTCGATGGAGCTGGAAAGAGCATGGTCGGAGTGCGAAGGAGGGGATTGGAGCCCCGAGGAGGACTTGCCGTTGTCGGTGACGAGAACGGAAGGCTCGCGATCGGAGGAGGAGGCTCTGATGGAGAGCTTTGGGAAAGAAGGCGCGGTGGTCTTGGTGGTGGTGGTGATGACCGGCAACCGGCGATTGAAGGTGGAGAGGAAGGAGGAGTGGTGCTTTGAGATGGCGAGGTTGGACGGGGTGAGGAGATGTATGGACTGCGACATTGTGACTGGGGGTGAGCGTCGGTGAACGGTCACGGAGGGAGAAGGTGGGGGTTAAAAAGGGGGGAGGTAGACGGAGCTAACGAAGAGAAGAGAGAGCTCTGGGAGGAGTTTCCAAAGCGAGGGAATGAAGGAGGGGGACAAAAGCAGCTGGACTGATGGCTAGTGATACGTGTCGTTCGAGTTGGGTGACGTGGCCTAGGGTGAGTGGTGGGAATACGGATCCTTTTTATGAGCATTCTGAAGTTCTATGAATCGTGTTCGTTCATCGAATATCGTACGATAACAAATTATTTGAAATATTTTTATTTAAAATTAAACATAAATAGTACCTAATAAAAACCGTATGTTACGATATGAACACAATTCATGAATTCTTAAGATCCTCACCAAAAAATCTGGAGAGATCCTGTTGGGTGTGGAATTAGGTGATGTTCACCACCTGCCTAATTATGATTGTTGGACGGTTTGGTGTTGAAACACAAGATGCTTTAAAGAGGAGCACTGTTCTATGCTCGAGTTTAACCAAGTTAGTAGAATAATCTAATCTTATCTCATGTCTATTTAACTATTGATTTATTGTGACGCATTCATCAAATTCATATTGCTCAATGTCAACACTAATATTTTGAGATGATCTAGTGGTATTTCTCTTTACTTGTATGTGAGATGTCTTAAATTCAATTTTTGTCAAATGCAAATTTGAACCAAATTATTGGTAATCCATTATGAGACTTAACCCACTTCTCACCCCTTAATGTAAATAATATCGTTTGTCCAATAAAAAAACAATACAAAACAAAATTCATATGAGTAATGTCGCATTTATCATATAACATTTATAGTATCTGTTTAATAAAGGTAATCTGCCAACACATGTTGGTCAATCTACCAATACAATGGCAACTAGTTTGGTCAAGCTGGCCTTTTATGTTTTCTTAAAATTACTTTGGTATACTTGTCTAAGTGATTATTTGATCAAATAGGGACATAATAAACTATTCCCTTGCGTGTTAAATTAAGAGGTCATATTCCGAATTTCGAGAGTTGGAATTTATCCTTATAACATGAATCTCACTAAGACTCTGAAATAACTTGAGAAACTTGCCTTACACCTAAAGATGAAATTTGAGATGATCTTGAGAACACTCATTTATGCATTGACCTGAAGTTTAAGCATTGGTCAGACAGTATTGCAATCCACCGGTTGAACTACACCCATAAGGTGTTGCTTTGAGTATGTTGATGCACAAAACCGGAAGGGTCTTGAAACAACGTAAATCCGACTATGATTCTGCATGAAAGTAAATAACACAAGATGTATTGTGGTTCACCCCAATGTTTGGGCTACGTCCACACTGATTATTGTATTTCTCTGAGATGTTGAAAAGGGAGAGAGAGAGCTTCTAAGGGTGAGAGAGCTATTCTCAATCTGAGAGGTTTGAGGTGATGAGGAGGCTTGTGAGGCTTAGGCATTGGCCCCCCTTAATGAGGAGAGTGAGGAGTCCTTTTATAGAATAAAGGTTCCTCACTTATTACATATTTGCCCATTCCTTTATTACATAATTACATTTGAGTCCTCCGAGTATTTATACGAGATCTAAATACGGAGGCCCTAAGTATGGTACAAACAATAGTCACCCAAGTCTTCAGTTAAGAGAGTCTTTTGGCTGGAGACTTGAAATTCAATCCATGTGTGGGCTGAAGTAACTAGATGTCGTATAGAACTTGATGCTCGATATGAGGCGGTGCCCAATCTGAAATGATGCTCAACTAGAAGTAACACATGTTGCGAGGCTGCTCTGCTTGTGTTGCCTTGGTTGGCTCGGCTTGTGGCGTTGAAGGTGAGAGAGTCCCTTTTATAGAATAAGGGCTCGCTCCTCATTACAAAAATGATGGGTTAGAGTTGGTGGTTGCGGCGAGGTGGTTGCTCAGCTGGCGGCGATGCTCTCTAATGAAAGTGAGGGAGTCCCTTTTATAAAATAAGGGCTCGCTCCTTAATACATAAATAATGGGCTAGAGTTGATGCTCTCTAATGATGGTGAGGGAGTCCCTTTTATAGAATAAGGGCTCGCTCCTCAATACATAAATGATAGGTTAGAAGTGATGCTCGCGGCGAGGTGGTTGCTCAACTGGCGGCGATGCTCTCTAATGAAGATAAGGGAGTCCCTTTTATAAAATAAGGGTTCGCTCCTTAATACATAAGCGATGAGTGATTTCTAATGAAAGTGAAGGAGTATCTTTTATAGAATAGGGGCTCACTCATCAGTACATAAATAATGGGCTAAGTCCCCCCAGTATTTTTCATGAGGCCCAATATATGGTACATAGTGTAATCCCCCAGGTCTTCGGTCAATAGAGGTTGTTGGCTGGAGACTTCAAATTCAATCCATGTATGGGCCGAAATGACGGTTGTTCGGAGGCGGTCTTTGTAGACCATGCATCGAAGCTTTGTAGGTGAAGCTTTGCAAGTTGAAGCTTTGAAGCTAGAGCTTTGTAAATGAAGCTTTTGAAGCTGATTGACATGAGTGATGCTCATGAATGTTTATGTTGATTGACATGAGTGATGCTCGTGGATGTTGACATGAGTGATGCTCATGAATGTTGACATGAGTGATGCTCATGAATGTTGACATGAATGATGCACATGAATGTTTATGTATGATTGACATGAGTGATGCTCATGAAATGTTTATATATGATTGACATGAGTAATGCTCATGTACAATTTTGGAGTACTTGACGTACTTTTGATCACCTGGTTGGTGATAATAGCGGCAGGGTGCTGAATTTTTTTTTTTTTTTGTAGTACTTGACGTACTTTTGATCACCTGGTTAGTGATAATAGAGGTCTGGCTATTTTGGGCATATGGGCCTTCGCCCTCCACATAACATTTCAGCCCATTATTTTGGGCTTGCCTTTTTTTTTTTTTAATTTATTACCCTCTGATGGGGTTTATACAGATGTCTCCGAAAGATAAGAAACAATAATTACAACATTCAAAAAAAAAAAAATTTGACCCTTTGCTCAATGGGTCACGCCCACAATTCCCTTTTTCTGCATGACATCACCACCACAATTATGTCTGCTTCTTTTTATCCTCTTTTGCTTTCTGTCTGTGCGCTGCTGTCATGCATGTGCCCCAATTAATCTTTACAGTCTATCTCTGCGCCGAGAAGAATGAGTAGAAGGGAATCCGAAAAAAAAGTGAGAACAATGGATGGGAAAGCTTCTTTCAGCTGGATCCTCCAAATGGAAGACAACCCATAAATGTTTTTCCTTTTTACTTTTGCTTTTCTCTTTTTCTCGGTTGACCCGTGTGTCTCCTGTTGGGCATTTTTCATCGCAGTCCGATCTCACCACCGACAATTTGATTTGGTTGCAGAGAGAGCGGACTCGAATGAGGAGTTGGTGATAATGAACTGGAGGCTGATCGAGTTTGATTTGGTGTGCACCAGAGCCAAGAACCATCAGCACTTTTACCTTTTCCTTTCAAGACATCTGCAATTATGGTGCTTTCAAAACCATGCTCTTCGATGCGGGAACTGGCAGGCGTAGCAGACTCAAAGCGTGAAAATGCAACAGGCTGTCGGAGAGGAGAGAGAAGAGAAAGAGGCAGTTGCAAAGTTTCTTGGGCTTTCAGATGATAGCCGGCCAAGCATGGAAGCCTTTGACTTTTGTAAGAACAAGTTCGCTGATCTTCCATTAGCACCTAGCAGCGGCGCCCTGAGTAGCCTTGCTAGCTTATTTCCTCCGGTTGGGTGCCATTGAAGAACTACCGCACGCCGCTCCAATCTAATTGGGAAATCTCTATTTGAACTGAAATGAACACACGACGAACTCCAAGACGGCGGTGTGCCGCAAGCGCCCAAGGAATTGAACAATCTGGCACTTCGCGAAAAATCTCTGGCAGAGATTCGCAGGCATTGAAGCACGAAGATCGATCGGCAACAGAGAGATAGAGGGGGGATGGATCTTCGCTGGTTGGATCTGACGGTGACGGCACACATCTCCCCGGGACCCGCCCGTCCGAGTCTAGCATCCAATTTCTTCTTCGTGAGGGCCCTATATAATTTCAAATGTTCTCTTTGACCTCGTCAAGGGACTGGTGAAGTAGATATTGAAGGCATCATCAGGCGTAAAGTCTCGGCCTGAGCCTCGCCTTTCTTGGTGAGCATAGAGAAATTAAAGTTGTGCTTCTCGAGTCGAGGACAGAAATCTATCTCCAGTAGTGAGGAGTGTCAGCCCTTACAATCGAAAGGGCCCTTGCAGCAATCATATAACATTTCTTCCCACTCCATTGTCCAGCGAAAAACTCAACTTGCCCTGTTCGATGAAAACAAGGTTGTCGCACAAAGCGAGGAAAAACTCATTCTTGGTTTTGGAGGTGAATTAGGGAAACACAAGCGGCGACTGTGGGGGCGACGAGGAGGACATGATAATGTGGATCTCGGGGGGAAGGAACTTGTCCCAAACAGCGTCGGATTTGACGACCGACTTGAAACTTCTCGAAACCGATAACATCGTGTCCGCGTTCCGAGGCATGGTCAGCGAGACAACGGTGGCTATGCATCCCTCCGACAAGGCCTGCAGATCCATGAGGTCACCTCCGCCGCCACCGAAATCATCTGTTTTCTCCTAGTTTCTGCCACCGTCTAAGAAGAACTTGAACATTTTTACGATTTAAATGGGTTCCTCGGACAATGGAAAATACGTTGTAATTTGCTTTCGTCGGCGGTGCGATATCTGAGGACATCATTTTGTGTTTCAGAGAAATGTTTGATTAGTTTGTGGGAGTGGGTTGTGTTGTTTTCTGGGGTGGTGGTTTTGTTTGAAGAAGTGAAAGAGATCAGAAGCAAGAGAGAGGCAGAGAGAGTTTTGGTTGTCTCTTGGGTTTTGCAGATCCACGGCGGATGTGAAAAATTAAGAGAGAACCGACATAGTTTTTCGGGTCGATTCGCATAGACGGCGTCAAATGTTGATGCATAAAACCGGAGGGGTCTTGGAACAACGTAAATCCGACTGTGAATCTGCATGAAAGTAAATAACACAAGATGTATCGTGGTTCACCCCAATGTTTGGGCTACGTCCTCACTGATTATTGTATTTCTCTGAGATGTTGA